CTCCCCTTATTTAGGTATTTCAATTTAAAAGACCAAAATTCAGTTTTGTCACAGAACAAGCAATGAAAAATTCGGTGGTAGTGCAGCGACCTGTTTAAAATAGTTCTATTGGATATTAATGGTGTATATGAACGCGAATGAATCGTACAAACAAATAAAAAATAAAAAAGAGGTCAACAGGATTCGCAGGAATTCCTCGGACGAAAAAGTTACTAGTTCACCCGGCGAGCCGATTCCCGGACTGTCCGGACGATAGCACTATCGTAGGCGCGATGCAAGTATAGATTAGGATGTTTCAAATTTTTACAAGATATTATTATTATTTATTGTGAAATTTTGCCGCCCCCTAAAAAGTGCCGCCCGTGGCGGCCCGCCCCTGCCGCCCCCACTACGGTACGCCACTGAATCTCTCCGTAGCGTGGCGCTTGATGGCGCGGAAAGTAGTTCGGCTGCCTGATGACGTTTTACGTAATTATAGGAGTTTTTTTTACCGTTTTTTACGGATTCCGTCGCAATTTTTTCGCTGTCTTATAGGAATCGTAATTATAGGAACCCGTTTTATAGGGGGTCTACTGTATGTTGTATTACAGGCATTAATAAAAACATATTAAGTCATACTTTTAGTGCCTAGATGTCCTATCCTCAGTTTCCGTAATGAATTCCAACTCTCTTTGAAGGTCATAAAAGCATTTAAATAAACTAAATAAAAATACACTGCTGGCCATTAAAATTGCTATACCATGAAGGTGGCACGCAACAAATGTGAAATTTGTATGAAAATATAACATTCCGGGAGCACACTAGTGGCCAAGCGGTTCTTTTCCCTGAACACTGAAAGATCGAGCCTGGGTTTGCCAAGACGGGCTGGCCATGTGGAGTTTTCCGGGTTTTCTCCACCTCTGTAACGCCTAAATAGGGGCCAGTTTTCTCTTAAAAAGACCTTCCGGAAGACATCCCCCTAGACCAGGGGTGGCCAACAGTTTTTGCCCCCGGGCCGAATTGGAAAAAAAACTTTTTTTCACGGGCCGAACCAGAGGCTGCCCTAAAAAGATTTTGAGGTGGTGCGAGATCTCATTGTGGTGTCAGCCGGTAGAGACTAAATTGTACATAGAGATTACAGATACATTTTTCACATTATCATGCTTTATCAACATTCTACGCTGTACTGAAGAGATTTGTAATGGAGGGTTAACTCTAAACGCACAGTGAGTTGTTGACCTTTTTTTTAGGCGTCAGAATTTTTCATCGAGCTATTCGGACTTGAGTAGCTAATATTGAGAGATTAATCGCGGGCCACATAAGTTCATTAAACGGGCTAAATCCGGACCGCGGGCCGTATGTTGGCCATGCCTGCCCTAGACAGATCACCCAAGTGTTGTGTTGCCATAACTTAACAACATTCTGTGTGCTCTGTAACTCAAAATTACCTGTCAATTTAATAATGTCTTCCTCTTTATACTGTATGTATACAATAAACACGATTTGCCTATTTGCTTGTTTTCTTGGTATAGCAATTTAAATAGCCAGCCAGATTTGGCCTAAACATAAAATAAACTTTAAGTTTATTTATGAGCTGTGCTATTTTTCTACAATAATATTAAGTTATACTCTCAATGCAATCTTTCGCCTGTTTTAAGATCTCATCTGATAAAAAAAAACACGAAACATCGTAAATAAGAGCACAATATTAGCTTTATTATAACAACTTCCAAACTCCATCAAAATTCAACTACTTTTACATGATTCATTTCCTTTTTTTACTTTATTTTTTTCAGCAACTTTATCAGTAGATAAAATTGTTGAACACTGTAAGACCGTGCCGAGTTCAATGACCAATGAGCTGGCCACGAGCAGTTTTACGGGTATTCTTTTCGTATCTATAACCTAAATAAGGGCCAATTTTTCATAGAAAGTTTTCCGGGAAGCATTTTTTATGTTGTCTCATCTAATCTATCCTTTACTTTTGCTGTTAGTCGCACAATGCTGTCGTTTTAGAAGCCGAGAACTCACAAAAATTATACGTTTCAACAGCTGCAGATGGGGATTATCGAAGATAAAAGAAAATCGCTGTAAAGTTGAAATCACTGCGGCAAATCTAATAGAATCGACAATATCGACCTATGAGAAATCTGAAATCGAATCCGCTCCTTGGAATTTTTCGTGGGATGGTATGTCCTGGATACGTCGAACCCCATCCTCATCTCCTAGCTGCCCATTCTGGGCCTGGCCGAACCCACGACTGACTTCAAAAATTCTTTAGTGCCCACTGAATGAAAAGAGTGAAAAAACCTGGTGACAATGCATAAATTTTTTCGTATTGCTTGTTTTAAAGGGTACTTTATCTCATAAAATGAATTGTGTGGCTTCAAATTTGTTGTTTTTTTAGACATAAATAACAGTTTATTTTTAATATTGCGTTTAATATTTTAATCTTTTCTTTATCAATGTCAAAATTATTCTTATTACAATGTTCTACTAGTGCTGAATTTTTGTATACTAATTAACTTAATTGCTCGTTGGACGTATGCAAATACTGAATACCGAGAAGCAGATGAATTTAAATGAAGGAAGGATGTAAGGATGTAAGGATGAACCGATTAATCGATAAGTAATCAGTAATCGGCCATATCGGTCATTTCTCCGATTAATCGGTTTTGATAATCATCCAATTTTGAATTTTAATATTTTTGTTAGAATGTTACGTATAAAGCTAGTAATAAAAAATTAAAAACTTCTGTTATATATTTGTTATTTATTACATGACAAACTGAATATTAAAAAAAATTACTGTTTTATTAAGAGGTTGCAAAGTGTTACAAAAATTTAACTAATTTACTATTTATTGTAGCCTGTGCAGAGTATAGAATACTTTTTACTTAATCGTTACGGGTTCGATCAAGCTTTCAAAAAGTGGAGACGGAATGAAGGATACTTTCTGTTACAGCTGAGATTGAAGTCACCTATCGATAATAACGTTACCAAAGACGCTTGTAATATTTTAAAATATACCACCAGGCATTCATTGAGCCCTAGCTAAATCTATGCTAGGTATGATTAAAAGTTCCATTTTGGACTATAGGAAAAATACACTGAAGAAAATACATTTTAAATACATTTTAAATAGTATTTAATTATAATAAATTAAGATAACAGCCATTTGATAGGATTATCTATTCTATGATGGAAACGACATTATCAAATATTTACTACGATACCAGTGTAAATCTACCAGTATAAGTTCCGATTTATATTCCTTAAGAACTGCTTTAGGCGTCTGTTTTAATCTCCTTGTAAAATGTTCCCATTTTCATTTGTAATAGGTGCTATAACAGTTATTTTTCTCATATTTCTGTGGATAAGGTAAGTATTTATTTATCTTACTGCATAGTACTAACAACTTTATCATAAATGTAACATCAACCTCACTCAAACTGTGAAATATAACCGTATCGGTTATATTTCACAGTTTGAGTGACTTTTACCTTTTCTATATCTTCGTCGTTTATAATCACTACATCTTTATTTTTTAAATAAATGTATATTTTAGTAAAAAATAATGTTTAATTTTTTTTAATTTTAGATAAAAATGCGCCAAAGTGTTTTTCATAAATATAAGTAAGGGTAACCAGTACCAGTAGCTAAACGGTTCCATACCCCGAATACTGGGAGTTCGGTCGTGGGTTTGCGCCTCGTCAGGACGGGCTGGCCATATGGAGTTTTCCGGGTTTTCTCCACGTCTGTAACGCCTAGATAGGGGCCAATTACCCTTAAAAACACCTCCCAGAAAGGCATTCCCCTAGCCCAGGGGTCGGCAACCTGCGGCTCGCGAGCCACATGCGGCTCTTTGGATGTGAAGCTGCGGCTCTTTAGTTCCGTATGCAAATATTATTTATTTTATCAAAAAAAAAAAAACTTAAAAATCGTTCTGAATCGATTAACGAGGATTAGGCACTGATTCTATCTCTCAGCCACTTGTACTCGCTTTTCACCGCACCCCTCCCCCGTGACACGCGTCGTCACTGTTGTCAGTCCATCGGAAGCTCTCGAATGACGCCGTCGTCGGATGTTTCTATTATCTAATTTGTTGTGAAAAACACTACTTATATACGAATAAATAGATATTTTTTCGTATGAATAAATAGATTAGTTTTTTTTATCAAAAAACTTTATTTACGCGAGTACTATTTATTGTTGGCAAGAAAAAATTTTGTGGCTCTTTAAAAACTTTGAAATTTTGTAAATTGTAATTTTGGCTCTTCCGACTCAAAAGGTTGCCGATCCCTGCCCTAGCCAGATCGCCCAAGTGTTGCGTTGCCATAACTTAATATAACAATCAAAAATATAAGTACAGTAAGTTCTCGATTTAATAGATTAATGGGTAGGAAGGGTGTCCACTTTTGCCGAAATCCGTTGAACCAAATATATTTTTGAAACATATAGGCCTATTAATACAAACTGTATTAAAACGTTATAATATATAGTTATGAATAAAACATTATTATAATGTACAGTACTGTACATTGAGTAATTTATGTTTACTGACTCATTGACCCAATCTTAGCGAACTGCCTTCGCGAAGAAAATCAGGTTCCGAATTTTTTCATTTAGGACAGAAACTTTTTGTTCGTTAAATCGAGGAACGTTAAATTGAGATCTTCTGAAAAGCGTGTATAGCAGAAAAACTGAATTTTAAGTTTGGTCGCTCGATGATATAATAACAGTTTCGTATAAAGGTGAGAAATTCAGTTCCACTTCTGGAGCTGAAATTGTTGAAACTGATCCTAGTACGGAACTGTTGGACTAAGTGGTTGGTTCCTCGTCGGTTTTATATTATATTATATAGACAGATAGATAATAGAATGTTTGTGTTTCTCCGTTACTAGTTTTTTGGTTGATCTGCACTGAATCTTTTATACTTATTCTCAGGGACTCCAAGGAAAATACAGAATTTCACGAAATCTGAATCTCTTCTGCTGATTTGATCTCTTCAACACTACGTGATAAACATAACAAAATAACCAAACTTGTAATATGGTTTTCATTTTATCATTTATTCTTCTTACTTTTCGATCAGTCAATGTGGGAGGACATAATTCTGTTAGTTACTAATAAAAACAAATAATTACGAACAGCAATAAAAATATAAACTTAAAAAACATTATAAATAAAATAACATACAATACTCAAAGCTAATAGCGAGGTTGAGGCCGAAATTTTAAACGCGAAAACGTGTACGTCGGACGTTCAGCGCCTCTTTCCTTCTCTTTTCTGTTCAGCGCCTCTTTCCTCTTTCCTGTGTTCAAAAATGTTTGCGTAAAATTCCAAACACCAATTTCAAACTTCTAGGCTTACAGGAAAGTGGCGCTAAACGTCCGACGTACACGTTTTCGCGTTTAAAACTTCGGCCTCAACCTCGCTAATGTGATTATTCCTAAAAACTCTTGGAACATTTTCATCTAGTTCGAGTTCAAATCCAGACATAGTTCATTTTTCCGTGAAATCCTGTATTCATAAAAGTACAAAATAAAGAACTCGTTACTTGTTTCGATTGTGGAACTATTCCTAGTAGTTTCGAGTCTTGAACAGTCCCTTTGGAACGGTTCCGACATGGTACTAACCACCTTTAGTTCTGAAGATATTCTCCCATTACTACGTGTTATATCGATCATCACAGGCTATATTAAAAATAAACATTTTTATACCAAAAGATATTTAATTTTTTTATATTGTATATATTTTTAAGCTGTATAATAACGTCTTCAACACTTGGAAAGCGATTACAACGATTTCCCAAGGCAAAAGAAAGATAAATTGTTTTGATCACATAGCAATTCCTATTAATTTTTTTACACCCGCACACACACGCGCATATATATATAGCTATATATATAGCTGTATTACAATTCATTATAATGTTATTAAAATTTAGATTATAGAGATGTAAGAAAGTGCTCGTAAACATTTCGTACATATAATTAGACCAGACATACTTCTGCAGTTCTATCTAGATAAAATATGTAAACAAAATATAAATAAAATAACATATTTATTAACATAATTTTATATCTATACTGTAATCATGTATTCACTTTTGTTGTATGTTTTTTTTTTTTTTTTNTAACATATTTATTAACATAATTTTATATCTATACTGTAAACATGTATCCACTTTTGTTGTATGTTTTTTTATAAATGTTCACTTTGTGTTTCAGCATCCAAACATCGTAAAGTAGTTAAAATTTCTGCATTCCAGACTTTTATTAATGTGAGGTCCTGTTGGCGTTTTTTTTTCTGACATCAAGTAGATTATACCTATTACTCGTCCAGTATTTTGAGCATTTTTGTGGATGGCAAGAGCGCATATGTGAGACTACTGGTAAGAGGATGGAGTAGGAAATGACGGATACAATTAGAAGAAGTCACTGAACACAATTAACTACAATTAAACATTTATTCAACGGAATGAAAGTTTTATACAGTACGTTACACAGTTAAGTAGGACACAATGTTCGCGTTTATGCGCGTTATCATCGCGGAGAGAGAGAGAGTTCACAAATTTCATTATCTTGCGAATCTGAACTAGAAATCCCACGTGGAGGTGAACAAGAAATGAATTCTTGATGTCAATTAACAGTTCTGGAGAGTAGCAGCGCACGAACAAAAGGACGGCGAGTAATTCAAAGGCACAGAAATACAAAATTTATGAAACTGCAGATGATAATAGCAGACACAGACACAGATCTTGAAAGGACGAAGAACGGGGGACGACTGACCAAAATCAGCCGTTCTTCGTCATATTTAAAGATGCAAACGCCCTAGAGGCGACCAAAATTACATTGTTCAGTTATATTAAATGAATATATTAATACCTAAGTTTAATTAATAAATGAAATAAAAGTTTTAACTTTGCTACAAAAGATATGCCTTTCATTTGTTTCGAAAAGCGATATAATTGTTTTTCTATTGTTGAAGACAATACTGCGGGCACTACAAGTCTGTAGAAATAAAGCTTGCAACCTAGTAGTCTGGCCTGCAATACAATAGTCTATTATACAGACTGTAAACATTATATAAACACAGTCTCATTAGAATGCTATCTGTTATAAAAGAAACAAACAATAACAAATAAAACAATTTAATAATGCAAATATGCAAATTGTACGATCAATTTGCATATTTATTTGAATCGTTAATATAATTTTAATTAATATTATATTAAATTAGAATTATTTAACAATCAATTTAAAGAATATTTTATAATTTTCTATTTAAAAATAATTTTAATATTGCAATAAACAAAGTCATTTCATGTGATTTTATTCTATACATTTCAGACGGAGGACAGACAAACTAAACTTACTTACAAAATGTGGCATTCCCGGTCCAAAACCTAATTTTTTAACTGGAAATTTTAAAGAATTTCAGTTAGAGGTTAGACGTTTATAAAACACAAATAAATCTGAAAAGTAAAATATAATTTTTATTTATTTTATAGCGAGAGAAATGCATCGAGGAATGGTTTAAAAAATACGGAAAAATTTTCGGGTAAGGCACATAAGAAAATCGTTTTTATATTTTTATTTATTGCCGAATTTGTGATTAACTCATTCATGAATAAGTCGCGTGAATAAATATAAAATAAACTGTAAAATTATTTTATTTTACGATAAATATTTAGATTTTATCTAGGAGCTAAACCGTACATCATGTGTTCTGATATCGAGTTTCTTAAAATAATGGAAGTCAAAGAGTTTAAGAATTTTTGTATTAGAGATGTAAGTTCAATTTCTTATATCAATTCTTTAAAAATTATTCATTTGAATATAATTTATTTATGAATATTTTCCAGAGAATTTTTCCAAATGCAGGCGTAAGTCACGAATTAGCAAAGCATGCCATAGCGTTGCAAAAGAGCATTAAGTGGAAAATATTAAGAAGTGTTATGACTAGTTCCTTTACTTCTCAAAAAATTAAAACGGTGTCGTAATCATCCCTTCAATTATATTTAAATTCGATATATTGTTTATACTTTACTAACCATTTTACATTTTCAGATGAGTAGAATAATGCATGGTTCTATAATCGAGTTGATGGAAAAAATAAAACAAGAAAATAGCAACCCTCTTGATATTATGGAGCTTTATAGACATTCCATGTTTAATGCAATGTCTAAATTGATTTTAGGAGTAACATTTAACGAAGAGAGTGAAAAATATAACAAAGTTTTTAATTCATTAAATTATGCATTTAAAAAAGATATTTTTAGCTTATCAAATAAATTATCAAGTAACTGGTCTTCTGCTTATTTTTTTTTTTTAATTTTACGTCAATTTTTTATTGGAATTTTAATTATTTAGTTTATTTTCCGGAAATCGAGCCACTTCCTACTTATTTTCGATTATTTATGGACATTGCCAGGTATATAATGAACTTTAATTCAACTCGATATCTTTTTAACACGAGTAAGAAAATTATTACTTCTAAAAAACAACTAATGGTATATATTATTTCAATTTTTATTCACAAAATCTTTAATATATTAAATAAAGAATATTTTTAGGACAATCAACAGGATATTCTTCAAGCTTTCTTGAAAGCAAATCGAAACAAAAAATTAGCAAGCGCTTCTGTTCTGGTTAATATTTTAATGATGCTGGGGGCTGGGTGAATGCATATATTTATCAATATTTTTTTCAATTATTTAGTAATTATAGAAGAAAATAATTTACTCATTTTTTTAATATTTTTGCAGAGTTGAAAACATGAGTTTTTCATTAGGATGGTGCATTTATTTTCTTGCTCATAATCCGAAAGTGCAGGAGAAAATACGACAGGAGATTAATAAAAATATTGAAAAATATGTAATTTACTGCAGTTTTTCCACTTTTTTTAAAAATATATTTTTAGTTTTTATTTCATTTGGATAAATTATCGGAATACTACAGTTTGCTTCCATGGCTAAGGACATACTTTGGGGTGATCAAATTAGGGCATAAAAAGATTTCAGTTAAGTTATAAAAAGTATTAATACAGTATAAAGTTTCAGTTTTTAAGAGACCACTTCCTCCCGGTTGTGTAAAATGGAGCACTTTTGGCAAAATTCCCCTTGAATTACGTGTACAGTACTTCATGGACTGTCTTGAAATTGGAGCAATAGCTGAAAGTCTTCGAGTATGAACATATTAACTCATTTTTTAAGTTTCTTGAAAATCACTATGAAATTCCGAATGTGCACTGTATTTTGGGACACATAATAGTCGATTTAATGGTAGAGGTTGATAAGAGAAAGTTACGATTCCTGCTTTTAGTAATTATACTTATTCTAGGTTTGTGGAAATTCGAGAATGTTCAATAAAAAATCTGGGTTAGCATGTCTTGTCAAAAAGTCTTCATCTTAAAAATGTTCTGCAAATATTTTCTAATTGACAGTTTATTTATGATAGTAAATAGGCTTATAAGAACAAGTTCTTATGATAAGAGTACCATTAGAAATGCTCACATAATGAATTCACTCTCCTCACTTTCTATCATGAACAAAGATTCCGCGACCACGTAAATGATGTAATAGATAAACTTAATATAATGACGTTAATAATATAATAAGTGATATTATATTATTAACGTCAGACCCTTATTATTACATCTCATTTAGTACAATAAATATCCATCTTTTTCTCTCTTGCAGAAAGATATTCAATACGAAGATCTCGTGAAACTTCAATATTTAGATCAAGCTATTTCAGAAACACTTCGACTTTCACCAACGTCTCTTTTGTAAGTTTAGCAAACATTAACAGTAATATCTTCATAAAAATCATTAAAAATTATCTTTCAGCATCATTAGTAGAGCATGTGAACAGGATTTCGTATACAAAGGACTGACTATACCAAAACACGTAGGAATATTTGTACCCACGATAATTCTACATAGAGATCCGAATTATTGGCAGGAACCAGATAAATTTGACCCTGACAGGTTTGACTTGTTATATACCATAGTTTCCTTTTCTAATATGATATTTAGCATAAAATATATATACTAAATTTACACTTTTACAGATTTTCACCTGAAAACAGAATAAATATTAACCCAATGATTTATCAACCATTTGGAGCAGGACCCAGAAATTGTGTGGCATACAGAATGGCACAAACACTCATGAAACTGATCATGGCTAATTTAATCAGATCTTTCATTTTTGATGCTTATGAATATGAGGTATACATATTTTAAGTACTGTACATGTAAACTTATAAAATATTTCTAACAAATACTTTTTTATTGTTTGTAGACATCTGAAATGACGCCTTCCATATTTTTCACTCTTCTAAAGAATCCAATTTTAATCAAAGCAACCCCCATAACTTCAACTTGAGTGTAATAATTGCCACATTCAGTTAAAATTTATTAATTATATTCATCCTAAGTGTATTAAATGTAAAATTCAATTTATTTGCGTTTAACTATCGAAGTAATGAATCTACATATCACCATGTTTCATATCGAAGTCATGGGAAAATGTCTAACGATGATAATGTTATCAAAGACACGTGCTTGTAAATATTTTAAAATGTAAAATGCCTATTATTATTATAAATAAAAATTATATACCACTGTTTTTCCTGGCGATTTTAGCAATGTGATTTTTTTAAATATGTAAATAGATGGGGTACCATGATTAGCCATAGGCTAATTATTGCACTCCATCTATTTGTATATTAAAACCCTGTACCCCGTATATTTATACCGTGGGTCTACAGAAACCGGGATTAAATTTGGCCGAACATACCAGGAATTTTTCAAAGCTATCTCCGCAAGATTTGTCTGCTCTCTAACCAAGTTTAAGCAGGCTCCCATTACGATCCTAGGGGTGCGTTAGAGCTTCGTGAGGCCCAGGAAAATTTGAAATATGGGGCCCCACGTCAAGTGTTGCTTTTAGACATTTTTCTTCCAGGGAATTTTTGAGGAAAATATTTTCTTATAGAAGAGGGATCCCCCATTGGTGGAGCACTAGGTAATTGTCAGTTTTGCCTATAAGGTGCAATTGTCGCCGAAGGTCACCCTGCTTCCAACGCTCCCTGCTGCCCACTTGCTTCTTTTCACACCTAGATTTACTCACCGCCCACAGGGGCGCTATCTCCCACTTTGGGTACCACTCGTAAACTTATGATATATATGATTCAAAATGCCCATAAAGCAGAAAAATTTAAATAACGCAGTTTAATTAGCCCTATTTTCTGACTATAAAACAAGTTAATAATGACATATAGATAGGACTATCTAGTCTGATACAATCAACATCATTGTTATGAATATTTACCTCTCAGTATAAATTCCATTTTATATTCTTTATAAATAGTGCTTAAGACCTATTCTTTTAAACTCTACATTAATAGTGATTCTCAAACTTTTTGAACCACTGCCCTCTTGGTTACATAAACTTATACCCAACGTCCCCTAACCCATTTTCCCTTGTGTAAGAAAGGCTTAGAAATATTCTTAGAAAAACTTTTCTATGGACCTCACATTTTGTGTGCTTACCGTACATTGTTCTCCACATCTAGAAATCATTAAACGCAATGATTCTTCTTACCCGTTTTAACAGGAAAGTAAATGGTTGTCAGTGACCCCAATCCTCGCCTACGGTCTCCGGTGAGTACCTTGCCTCCAACCCTCGCCTGCCGTCTACTTGCATCTTGAATATTTTTTAATGTTCATTAATACAAAATAATTGAATATATAAAGTTTTCCATTTATTAATTAAAAGATATTAAATATGATTTATAATATCACACCATTTACTATCAATTTGAATACCTTCAGACAGATTTAATAGATCATATTTTGGTGTATAATTTTTAATTTCTATATAATCTTTAAAGTTTCGTTCGTAAACATCTGTTTAAATTTTATCTCTATTAACTAATCATGAATTTATTTTCTTTCGAATGATTATACAGAGGTGAATACCCTTATAAATTATAGAATTATGTTTAATATCTTTCGAAAAATATATTAATTATCTTTCGAACGATTACTTCTGTTATAAATTTTACTCAATCCGTTAAATATGTATTTTCTTTTATCTATACTCTATATCTATATCTATACTTACTATATAAAGAGACAACGTATTTTTCGTTTGTGACCACTAACCGTGAAAACTACTGAACCAATCGTTACAAAATTTTAACTGTAGCATCTTTATGATCACCGGAATGTTTACCACTAATCAAACCTACAGAGTTTTTATTAATTAAATAAAACTGCAACGGATTTTTGTCTGTCTATTTCTCTCTCTGTTCACTAGATGACAGAAGCTAGTACAGTATAATATAATCCGACAATCATTTGGCTTTAATACTGTATATCGATATTTCATATTTTTTATTGTAATACTTTTCTGTATGTGAAAAATAAAACATTTTGATCAGTTTTAGCTAGATATTAGCGTAACCGGTGACACCTCAAATGACTTATACAGTATAACTATACTACGGATTACTAATATCGAACAGTTTATTATCAAAAGTTTTATCTAAATCATTTATAGAGTTAACGTACTCTATAAATTATTTAGGTATAACTGATAAAATTTAACTGATATTAAATACACTTTGCCATCTACCTGTTTCCAATCATTCGAAAGTCGCCAGGTCTAGATTGGATGTCCTCTCTTTTACTCATCAAATACAGTACTTTGACGGGCTATTATGTCATAAATATTTTAACACTTAGTTACAGTCCGATTTAACTCCGCCTAAAAAGTGCCCAGAAGAAAAAGTAATCCTTTATGTATTTTTACACGATTATCCCCTTACTTATCTTTTTACCTCAAATTTATTCTAATAGTGTTACGCGGGTGTGGAAATATTTAGTCTCGGACTGTTTCTAATGTAACTAAAATAAATGAATAAATGGTTTATTTCCGAGTATCAGTAGTATACCATAATTAATTAATTCATTCATTCATTTGTATAAAAGAACTCAATTAGTATAGTTAGTGAGTGCATAAATGAACCGCCTTTTGATTAATTACAATATGAAAGTATATAGGCTATACATAAGCAGCTTTATATAGTTTTATCGAACTGTATACCTTAATTAATATTTTCGTTTAACAACGGAACTCCGTCGTAAATAGGGGACCAGTTGTTTTTGGAAGTTAATCCAATTTTATATCTTATACCTTGATCTCGAGCAATTTTTTAAAACTCCACCGTGTGAGCACTAACAGGGTCTCGAGCAATGTTTATTTCGCATATCTACAGAAAGTCTTGAATAGGAAATGCTTAATTATTGCTATCCAGTATATATATGTAATTTACAGAATACGAATTATAGGCCTATACTTCTGCTAAAGAGAGGCTTTAACTCAAAACTGTAGTAGTATACAGGTTAAGGTTACAACAAAGGTTTCTTGATAGGAATTTGTGTGAGTTCACTCCCTTTTATATAACAAGTCCTAGTTAAAAATAAAGTCCAAGTATACAAGTCATACTCAACATTTGAAGCACTGGAAGCATGTGTGGAAGCACCGTGAAATTTTCTCATGGGCGTTATCTTTCTGTTTAACAAATTGTTATTCGAAATTGAAATAATGCAATAAATGTCATTCCTGATTTCTTCTCATTAACGTTCCTGTCTGTAGAACAAGGGAATTAATAAGAAAGAATTAGGTATGACAATATCATATCATTAGGGAAGGAATCCTAAATTTTAACATCCCGATAAGATAAATTGACGATTACTACAAAAATACACTGATAATTTTTTACACTGATCTTACCATGGATATTTATCTGAAACTATAAATTCGACTTGCTGTTGTAATCATTATAGAAAAATGTTCCCGTGCTCATTGGTAATAAGTTTTATAATAATTATTTGTCTGACATTTCTGTGGCTAAGGTAAGTATTTATTTTATTTAATAATAATTAGTAATTTTAAAATAGATACACTGAGCTGCCGATTGTCCGTGCGTCGTCAAAATAATTCGCCCATCTCGTTCACGGACAGCGTGACAAATGGGAAGTTGTATACATTTCATCAGTGTACAAGTAGTAAGTTATCAAGCTCAGTGACTTTCTAAGAAACGGTCTAAAACATACACGGGAGTTGACCTTAAATTACAAACAAAATTTTAGAAATTTGTTGATAGAATATATGCGAAAAAAAATTCACACTTATACGCTATAAACACGATAATCCCTTATTCAGTGACACCATATCCCTTATATCCTGTCTTATATCCTACTAATGTCTACTTATATCTGCAGGATATAAGTAGCCTAAGTTCTCACATTTCCTGAGTTTATTTTGGGTATGTTAAATTATGCTTAATATGACATTTACTCGGGCCAATTCTATAAAGAAAATAGAAAATAGACTACTAATTTACTATTATTTATTCTACGAAAGGCAAGTAACTCGTATCTTGACATGTCGTCTTCAGAGTCACAGTTGTGACAAATATAATATGGATTTACATCTGTACTTAGCTTGTGAGATCAATTTTTACATCTGGTGCACTGAATCCATTTTTACTTGAATTGGCTAAAACTCTCACTATAAACTAAACATGTCTTTTCTTTATGAGTCAGACTTAGTAGCGGGTCTTCTGCTGCAGATGTTCGGATCCTGACGATCTGTGACATAGCTTGGAAGAAAGTCTTGATCGGTGAAAATACTGTATATCTAAATTATTCTATTCTTATTTAATGAGCATTAATACGAAATTATACAAGAAATTAACTATAAATTCGAATGTATAGATATGTACAGTACTTGCATTTACTAATAAGAAAACTCATTGGAATAGATTAAATTATCGGGGTAAGAACATTTTTTACAGCCTTGTCTAACATTACTTATTTAACATTGTAAACGTCGATAATAATTATTATAAACAACACACAGTAAATACATTAAATAAAATAGAATAAACAATAAATGTTTTCATAATCCGTTCCTTTTACAATCCATAAGAACAAGATTTTACAGCGGAATCGACCTTTTATTTGAGGCTACTTTTTTCCCTCAATATGAAAAATCGATAAAAATTCCAGTACATAAGTACTGTATATTTATGCATTATTACCGTCGTGCCCATTTTATTTATTTATATTTTAATATTTAACTTTCTCTTGCCCTGTGGTCACTAAGAGGGTCTTTTTTAGCAAGCCCATTACGGATTACGTCAGGCCAGCTGGAAGATAGGGAGAAATCCATGGAATGGAGGAATGACAGTTACATTACGTTATTTTGTGTTATATTCCTCATCTATCTTTTTGAAGAATAAAAGAATGATTAACATTATTCGATTCTCAGTGTTACACGAGTTAATAAAGCAATCATATCAAGTTTTATGTTATAAATTTCAGATGGAGAACGAACAAACTAAATTTATTCAAAAACTACGGTATTCCTGGTCCTAAACCTGATTTTTTTACGGGAAATTTTAAAGAATTTCAATTAGAGGTAGGACATTAAGGAAATAAATAAAAATCAAATAAAAAAAACTGTAAAAAACAATGTTTTCTTTGTTTTACAGAGAACGAAATGCGTTGAGAAATGGTCAAAAAAATATGGAAAAATTTTTGGGTAATGTGACACTATTTATTGAGAGTTATACACTTATATCAATACTTAAGTAATCTATAAATTTTTGTTACTAAAATTATGATTAAATGGTAAAATAACTATTTTATTTTATGATAAACTTTTTAGATTCTTCCTAGGAGCTAAGCCGTATATAATGTGTTCTGATACTGAATTTCTTAAAATTATGCAAATCAAGGAATTTAAACGTTTTTCAATAAGAGATGTACGTTCGCTATCATATATTTCAATTTATTATACTCGAATTATTAACTCAAAAGCTAATTTTTATCCAAAACATTGTTTGTAGCGAATACTTCCAGATATAGGAATACCTCATGAATCAGTAAAACATGTCATTGGCTTGCAAAAAGGTATCAAGTGGAAAAACTTAAGAAGTGTCCTGACTGCTTGCTTTTCTTCTCAAAAAATTAAAATGGTATAATAATTATCACTTGTTTTATCTTTCATTATAGTCTAACACAGGGTAACAAAAAGTCCATAATAACTTTAAACATTCATAAAAAAAAAATGGAAGATTTATGGAAATGAAGCTGGTAAATGTTGTCAGAATGGGGGGTTTTGTTGACAGGAAAAAATTTATTCCAAAACTTGCCGATTAGTGGCTTTGACATACAAAAAACAACGAATAGACATGCAAACGAGAATGAAAATGACATTCAATGAGATTTGTGATTATGGGATATTTTAATTCCCGAGTGTTTTGATCGATCTCTTCCCTATGTTCGAATTGAAAAATGCTATTTGCCTTGAGATAACATCCATCCATCTGGAGTTGTTGAACTCTGTAGGTGTGGGCGTTGTTACTTGGATGAATTGTATTATACCATGTGGTGGAAGCTATGTCGAACACTTGTCGAATAAACACATTGAAAACCTTTCTCATTGTCGTTTCAATTTCTCATGATTTCATTCTAATTATAAGCTCGCCAGAAGCCAAGCGATTCTGTTACCTAAACACTGGGAGTTCGGACGTGGGTTTGCGTCTCACCTCCTGAATAGGAGCCAGTTATCCTTAAAAAGATCTCCCGGAAAACATCGCCCAAGTGTTGCGTTACCGTAACTTACTAAAACATTCTAATAATATTCTTCCATTTTTTATGAATGTTTAATGTTTTATAGAGATTTTGTTCACCCTGTACTGTACATCCTTCAAACAATATTAAGCAATTTATATTTTCAGATGAGTGTATCAACACAAGATCTCATTGCTAATTCGATGAAAAAAATCGAAAAAGAAAACGGCAAACCTTTTGATGCATTAGAAAATTATAAAAATCTGGTATTTAATATAATGCTGAAATTAGTAATGGGTGTAAAATTTAATGAAGAAAGCGAAGAATACAATAAAATTGTCAAATCTTTAAATTTTTTACTCCAAAAAGATATCTCTAGCACATCATCCGTAATATCAAGTAAATTATTTTTCTATTTCTGTTGCGAGTTTTTAATTTTATATGCATATATTTTTTTCAATATTTATTCATTTTAGTGTATTTTCCGGAATTCGAGCCAATTCCTACTTATTTTAGATTACTTTTTGACATTATCAAAAGTGTATTAAACTTTGATTCAATTCGATTTCTTTTCAACACTTGTAAGAATATAATTGCTGTTCGAAAACAGTTGATGGTTAGTCAATTTCCAACTCTTACTGAAAAAATATTCAATTTATTAAATAAAGAATAATTTCAGAATAATCAACAAGATATTCTTCAAAGTTTGTTAAATGCTGAAATTAGTTATACAGATCACAACAAAAAATTAACAAGCAGTTCTGTTCTTGTCACCGCTGTAGTGATGATTACATCAGGGTTATTATATTGCTCAAATATTAATATTTTCCAATTATATATTAATATAACAAGTTTTAAACCTTTCAGATATGAAACTATGAGCTCTTCATTAGGATGGTGCACTTATTTTCTTGCTAAAAATCAGGAAATTCAAGAGAAGGCTCGACAGGAAATTAATAAAAATATCGAAAAGGATGTAAGTTTATGCAATTTTCTCATTTTTCTTCTTTATGAGTAAGATTTTTTCAAGTCTAGGAGCTTCAGATTTTAGCTATGATTCATATTAACATTTTTATTTGTTAAAAATAGTTTTCAGTTTTTTTTTATCCAGACCCAATCATCTAGGTCGATTTATTAGTTTTAATACGGGTGAATATTTTGTATTGATTATATTTATTTACCACCCAGGAGTAACGTCATGTAACACATCTTGTATCCTCTATCTCATAGCATGTAACGTAAAACCTTATAGGCTATTTCAAAAGCTATCATCCAATGAGATAGCCTTTAAAGTTTTAGGTTAACAAGTATTATACAATGTCAACTTAAAAAGTTATTACGCCGAGGTAGGAAAATATTAAAGGGTTTGCGCGTGTTTAAAAAGGTTGTAGTTTAATCTTATCTTGTGATGTCGGAATGTTAGATTTCTTCTAGATTATAAGGACTACTTTGAGAGTAAAAATTATAAGGATTGTCCTTTATGAAAATGGCATTAGGTGTGTAATTTAGATCAATCACAGTACAGTACGTAAAGCTCCTTTAAAAATAATTTAAGACAACTAATAAATGTATAAACTCTCCCATATAGGAACTAATGTGGGCGGTAATGTGAACGGGAGTGATACAAATAATAGAAAAATCCAGATAAGGAGTGTGACAATTTTTAAATAAGCTGTAACATGTATGCCTATTGCATGTATGAAAAATGTTTATTTTAAGTTTGACGTTAATTTTTGACAATTACAATTAGAACTAATTTTCAAAGTATTGTGTTGTTTGTTTTAATAAATATGTTATGCAAATTTTATTATTCTTCCGACCAACAGATGGCGGAGTGTGACGCGAGACTAATCATCGATAGCCTTACGCGTGTCCAATGGCAAAGTCTCAGAAAAGTAACGAATTTGATTTTAAAATCCTCAACCGTAACTTAAAAGAAGTATGAATTACAAGAGCAATTATTTATTGTGACGTCGTTACAATGCCAGTGGTTCAATTTTTAATAATATTTTTAATTAATTTCATTTAAAATATATGCTCCACTAAAATTAGTAGTGGCCTGCCCCTGTATTGCACATAATAGTTTTCCTTTAACAATAGAGTTGTCCCGGTCATCTATCTAATACCTTTCGGGAGAAAATATTTGAATTGAAATAACATGACTTCGGGTTTGCATCGGAAATTCTTATAGGCCTATAGTTAATCGGGGCCTCCTGCCCCCAAGGTTTCCATATCGGTCTCGTCTTTCATCTAGTTAACTGTTCTCGGGATAAAGGAAAGACAGATGAACGGATGACAGTGGGAATTTATAGGTCTACAAGTTTTTCAAATTGCAGCTGAATTTTATCGCAAAAGACTTTTAATCCCTTCTACTGCCGTTTTCGAGAATTTTTGGAAAAGTTTTTCCCGTAGAAAAAGCATTACATTTTTAACACTATCTACTTGAGATAACATGCATGGCCAAAGAGGTTATAATCGGCCTTAAACGTAAAATCAATAAAAGAATATTTTTAAAAAGTATGGATTCCACTCATTACTTTCAGTGTTTTCTTAACAGCATGGCTACGTGCTAATTTACGCAGAGACAAGAATTAAACACAATTTTAAGATCACCTGGGGATCGTGTAGGCAAGACTTTGCCTAGAAACTATTAGGCCTATACTATTCTTCTTCTTCTTCTTCTTTTTGTCCCTAGCTGGCATTTGGTTGCGGGTGTCTGCGCAACCAGTATGCTGCTGTGGGTGCCGCAGGAAGTCGAGCTTTCTCCACAATGCCCCTCCAATGCCCTCGATCCATGGCCGCCGCTTTTGCCTGGTTCAGATCAAGCCGTTGGTTCTTGAGGTCCTCCTCAACGTGTTTGGTCCATGTTTTCTTAGGTGCGGAGTGTTGGATTTTCCACAGTATACTATTATTACGGACCTGTTACTTTCTTATTTTCTTTGTTCATTTTAATGAGTATGCTATAGTGAATAAAACTTAACAATATTAATAATAATTATGATTAAATTTTAATACAATTAAGGAAATCTTTATCTCTCATATAGAAAGACATTAACTATGCAGATGTCATGAAACTTCATTATCTGGATCAGATTATGTCAGAAACTCTTCGACTTTCATCACTGTCTGTACTGTAAGTTTCATAAAGTTAAAGAGATATATCTTCATAAGATTCTTAAGAAGTATTCTTTCAGACTTATTAGCAGAGCGGGTGAACAAGATTTCGAATATAAAGGAACAACCATACCAAAACACGTAGGGATTTTTGTTCCCGTGCCAATTCTTCATAGAGATCCAAATTATTGGCAAGAACCAGATAAATTTGACCCTGATAGGTGTGACTAGTTGCATAATAATTTAATTACTAATAGGGTACAGAATAGAGAATATGTAAATTAAATTTATGCTCTTACAGATTTTCACCTGAAAACAAAATAAATATTAACCCAATGACTTATCAACCTTTTGGAGCAGGACCCAGAAATTGTGTGGCGTACAGAATGGCACGAACAGTCATGAAATTGATCATGGCTAATCTGATCAGATCTTTCGTATTTGAGGCTTATGAATGTGAGGTAAATATATATGTTTATAGTTTATTTACATAATATAGTTTATATAATAATTCAAATGTGTATTCTCTTTCTCTATAGAGATCTGTAGTGAAACACTCAATATTTTCAACTCGTAAGAAAGATTCAATTTTAATCAAAGCAACTCCAATATCTTCCAACTGAATGCAATGCAGTATTTCTGTTTTCAAATTGTTTTCAAATTTTTAAGATTGCTGTTATGCATATGTTATAGATAGAGTTAATCGATGTTAAAAATAAAAATAATCGACTTTAAACACAAACTATTATTAAACAGCTAAACTGAGTATCAAGAATGGGTTGTCGAAAACGAAAGGAAAGGTAGGGATTTTTTATAGATCCCGAATATAACTTATGGCCCATAATGGTTCCTACTCCTATAAAGTGAAGATTTTTAGACTTCTATTTATTAATAGAGGTATTAGTAGAGGAACATTCGTATCCCATGTCTAAAAGGGGCTAAAGGAAACAACTCTACCTCCAAGCACCATAGAATGCCTTTGATGACCTGGAATAGAGATGTTTTCAAGTAGCTTTGTAATTTTTTGTCCGGATAAAGACGACTTTATCATCTTTTTTAAATAATCAATTAATTATAACTACATAAAGTATACAGTTTTACTTGATTCAGTACAATGAGAAACAGCATTTAGTTTTGTATTTTTGGCATATGAAATTACATTTCTTATGACATTCACATTGAATCTACATATTTTGGTAGTTCATAAAATATTCTGCAACATCAAAAGTAAAATATGAACCCAAATTTATTCAAAACCTACTTACACGTTTCCTTATTTATATATACGCTTATATACATACCTATATGACAAAAATACCAAGGTATATGACTAAAATATGTCTTCTGTATCATCGCTATCACTGACAATATGTAATAGACCTACTGTCTTGGTTCTTGCCATCTTATATTTATTCATTTGTCAATCTTTAACTCATTATCCGTCTATAAATATGACTTTTAAAAGAATTTCGAATGTTTACATCTGACTGTAAACATTTGAAATTCAACTGTATTCAAGTATTCAACTGTATCCGTTAGTTAGGTATTACGTAAATGTTATATTGAATACTAAATTAGGCTTAAGCATATATTATAAAACAAAAAGTAAGTGCTTTCGATAAAATTTTATAAATTAGAAACTCCAAATCAATGGAAAACGAAAAGGAAATAAAATGAAATAGTCCAACACGCGCAATTTACCACAATACAACGCTAGCATCAGTTGGCGCAATTGCCCATTTCACAGATCAGGCAAATGATTATCGATAAAGATTAAAAAGTGTGCCATTTATTAAATAAATTTATATAATCGAGAAATAATCGATGACTAAATTATTGTGATTACATTTGTGTTCGGTGCCCACTAGTAGCTGAGTGGATAAAATCACTGGCTACTGTCGCAGGCTCGTCCCTCACCAATGGGATGGATGGTTGTGTGGAATTTTCCTGACGTCATTCAGATGTCTAATATCTAAATAGGAACCAATTTTCCGTATAATTTCCTTCTGGGAATTGATTGATAGAGGTAATGTAATACATAGGCGATCTGCCCTTTGGCAGATCGCCTATGTATTGCATTACCTCTATCAATCAATTCATTTGTGTCTGGTATATTATTATTCGATTATCAAAAGTTAAAGTTATTTTAAAATATTAAAGAAAAAGAACGATTTTGTTTAAATTTATACTTTTATTTTGAACATAATATAAATCCGTAGAAATTTTCAATAAAATTAATTACAGGATACTTTTAACTAATAATAACTCCGTCAAATATAATAAATGATCTATATTCCAGAGATACCACATTCCCGGCTCTTCCAATTCCATAATATCTATCATCTTTAATGGTATTAAGGACATCAAATGCTTCATTCCAAAGATGAATATCGGCAATATCTCCTTCCCAAGACTGATTGAGATCGAATTCTGAATCCATTACGTCTTGTTTCTGCCCTATGATAAATGCTCCACCTTCTTCGATGTATTTATCAGCTGCTAAATTAATACTGCAAAACTTACTATTTATAACTGCTTGGATTCTACCATTAGGTCCAAACCAAGATATACAAATACTATTCCACATCCCCATGTCATTAAATCCATCGCAAGACAACTCTTCATCGGAGGTTTTCAAGTAAATATGTGCTGTTGTACTTTTAGAAACGTCAAATTTAACATTAATAACTATTTCGCTGTTTGATCTTGCTGTAGCATAAGATAAAATGGTAAAATATCTATTTTTATCTGCCGAGACAGGCCTGACTCGAGAACAAAATGTAAACTCCTGTAAGGTTGGAAACGTGTTGACCGGTCTCAACCGAGGAAATTTAGTAGCATTTGATGGCGGAAAGGAAAACTTACTGATTTCAGCAGCATAACTGGTCAGTAATATTGAAAAAGAAATGAAAGTTAGAATTATCATCTTGCCAGTAGTTATTTATCTTATTAATTGAATTGTAATTCTGGCTTTTATACACAAGTATAACTTTTATCTGTAGATTTCGAATCAAACTGTAGTCTGTTTCATCATATATATTTATATCAGTTATTTTTTTCTAGTTTGAAAATAAATAGCCACTTGACACAACGTCATAATTCTGATAAGATATATACAAATTACAATTATAAAAATTTGAGTTTTAAAATTCTTTCACTTTACCTTTTGTTATTTGTTCCTCTTTCTTCCCTGTGGAAACTAAGAGAACTTTTTTCAATCCCCATGGTGAGATCGTTCCGGCGCACAGTGATGGTGGTCATGTAGGTGTCGGGCCCCGCCCGACATCTCTGGAATAGATCTCATGAAAAATTCCTGGAGAGTTGCCCATCCTTTTCGATCTCGGATTCTCCAGAGAGGCAGGATGGCTCCTGGGCCATTCAACCAAACTTCGCCGTTAAATAATACAGTGGGTGATCGGTTAACGGATAAATCGGATAACGAACACTTTCGCGAAAGGTTTTTATGTTCGGACAACGAACACCTCACAGAACAAACACCAGAAGAAGCGACGTAAAATAATGAATACCGATTGGTCTTCCCTTGTCATCAGGCAACAATTCGAAACTTTTCGGAGCGCGGGAGGCGTCGACATCGACGCTCAACTCGGTATATACTAATCGAATAGTATTCCTCCGAACATTGGAACTCTCCCTTATAATTCTAGCCTTTTATTTTTCTGACAGAAACAATTCTTTTATAGTATTCGCGAGACTGTCGAGGGGCACTCGTTAAGTTTTCCGTCGGTTTTTATTTTCGAAAGGTGAGAGTATAATAGCAAAGGTAGAGAGTGGGCAGATGTCTGATGTTGCTGGGCAGTATGGCTTGATCAGGTCTACAGTAGGCCGCAGTTCATTCTTATCTAAGAAAGATACAGTATAATCAAGAAGACTCAAGCAACTAAAGGAGTAACAAAATCACATCTGAGAAATAAAGAACATTGAAGAGCTCATAATGAAACCCGAAACAGATCTGACGACAGAAGAACGCCAAGAACTCTTGAATGAAAAAACCAAGAAACTCGGCGATATATTTTTTCTTCTGAAAGAGGATTAATGCCGACATCTGCTAAACATCTTTTGAAGAATATCGGAACAACAGTCTTAGAATAGCATCCAATCCAGATTGAAGTTAATAGGCTTGGGGATCTCTACAATTACAATGCTATTAATTACTTCCGAAAAATCTTGAAGAAGGAAGAAAAGCAATCGACATTAGACAGATTCTTTAACCCCACAAACGGAAAAACATGACTAATAAAAATGCAAGACTGTGTATGTATGTATTTTTATTAATTCATATAAATAAACGTACTGTAGTAAGAAAGTATATATTTTTTAATTTTTGGAATTTCCAGAACGAATTAATCAAATTCCCATTAAAACCTACGATAAATCGATAATCGGTTAACGAACAATTCGGATAGCGAACAAAGTCTTGGAACGGATTATTTTCGTTAACCGATCACCCACTCTAGTATTTTAAATTTCACTGAATTTCTTTTGTATATTTCGAATTAACTAGTTGAACCTCCAATAAAGGCAACTGTAAGCGGCGGCCATTTCTCGGAAGCGTTATTTTTTTTAAATGCAAACAAAATAATCCCCGAACAATGGCCATTTTCTACGTTATTCTCAGTGGCTGTTATTAGATATTTGATTATGCATGAATCCAATATTACATCCAATTCCGCGTTATATACGTTTGCATCAAGTATGGCGTTACATGTTCTGGCTATTATTGACGTTATATGTGTTAATCTTTATGCCATTAATGGCTTTACCGACCCTAAACAAAATTACCAACATTGATGAGATTCGAACCGAGTTCTTTCATAGCGATAATATAGGAGTTTTACATTGTTTCTCTTCTTTTTTGAAAATGAAAGAACTGAATATTTGATAACATAAATGTCAAGATAAATATTAAATTATACAGGATAAAGTTCAAAATATGATATTTTCAATATCTAAAGATAACGCTTCGCTAAAATTAATCAGTAAAATTAGATCATGTTTACTGTTACCACTAGACGTGTTTTGTAAGGCATTTAAATTGAAAAAAAAAAAATGTCATCATAAATATAGCCTATATTAATACATCAGCGATAAAGTTATCTGCTGCTCAAACCTCTGAATTTTTACAATATAACCTCGAATCCGCATGAGAAAATTCGTTAGAATTTCTATTTAAGGGGAGAGGACTGGATTAGATATTTAAGTTAATGCGAAATGTGGATGATCTGTGAAGGGAAACTGGCCCCCAGGAAAACTTTCTACGGGAAACTGACTCCGATTTAGGTGTTAATATACCATTTTAAATAAACAAAAATAAATTATTTCTCAATGAAGGAGATAAACACAGAGTTAAAACGTTCAATAAAAAAAAGGAAACACTTTTCTGAACGCGAAAATGGAGCAAGGAATCTTTTTAAGAGCGTGTAAAAATTACAAAATTAGCTAAATGTTTATATTACCGACAAAATTTAACTGTATGTAGTGTGACTGCCAAAGTAAACGCTTATTTACTTGTCTAATTTCTAATATTTCAAACACACATTATATGCCAAAAAAGGGGCAATACTAGCTCTTAAGGCATCAGACTATCGTTCTGGAGGACCTAGAATGAATCCGGTAGGGTTAATAAATGCGAGGAAGTTTTGGGGTAGATTCATTTCGGATTATATCTGGCCCTACTCCTCATCACTCGGACTCCCCCATTATAGCCTGACTGAACATACGTCGTGCTTGGAAAAAGACATTCTGGGTGCCCTAGGACGAGAAGAGCAGAATAAAAATTTTATAAAGTATATTAATATGCTTTTTTAGTCTCAAAAGTAGATTATTTTATTCATAGGAAAAATGATTGATTAAAGTATAAGAATATGCCTAATATATTATCAGTTCATAGTGTAATTTTATTCATTTGTTTAACGTAAAACAATTACTTGGAAATGACAAGTATTCTCTGTACTTCAAATATATAAACGATGTTTACAACATCCCAGCAAAGAACTAGAATATGATGACATTACAACTGATGTACACTCACTCAGCATTTGTATGTAAATCAAAAGCACAACACCTTAATTTGCTGAGAAAAAATTTAATGAAAAGCAAACGTTTTCAGCCAAATCTGTTGGCCATCATCAGGCTAAGATATTCGAATATAAACAAAATAGAACAAAAATTTAAATACAAATAAAATAAAATAACGAATGAAATATATATATAAATGTATAAAGAAAAATGAAATAAAATAAAAATTATTATTATAAATAACAAAATATGTATATGAAAAAATAAGCATAGGTTAATTAAATATTAAAACGTTATATAGAAATTCAATGAAATGCAAGATATGCAAAAAAAATACTAAAATCAAGGCATTACAACTTTTATTTATTCGATAATTAACTGTTGATTGATTAATTAACTGTTGACCACTCTATGAGAAGTTATGGGTCATGAATCTGGAAATTCTATTTACTTTATATTTACAGTACAGTAATTCAACAGTGTTCAGCCAAAAAACTGCGATAACATTTTCTTGTCCGACAAACTGTCTCTAGAAGCGCCAAGATAGAGATAGAGAATGAGAATAATAAACGAATATGTTATTGGGATGCGATCTTAAATTGCAGACCTATAAATTCCTTCAGTCTATTCATCTATTCGTCCATCCTTCCTTAAGCGCGAGAACATAATTAGATAGATGAAAATCAAGATCAGATATAGAAATCCTAGGATCGAGAAGCTCCGACTAACTACACTCCTCAAAAGTGAAATCGCAACACCACGAAGGAATGAGAGTAGCCACATATACTGTACACTGCAGGACCGGTATGGGTAACAAAGATATACAAATGATTAAAAGAACAAACAAAGATATGCAACAGACATCTGTTTTCTCAGTAACGAATATAGATTCCAAGGGCAGCTGTACAGGCCGCTATAAGGCGAGGCATACTATCAATGAGACGATTAACGGTTATCCTGCTTCAACTGCGATGCGTATGTCCCCGATGCACACCCGTCACAGCCGTGACGGGTGTGCATCGGGGACATCTGGGACTTTTTCCTCCACAGACAGAAGCAGAATTTATCCCTAAACAATACCTGATGCCATTCAATGGTCCAGTTGCGATGACGAGGACACCAGGCCAGGCGTACAGCCCTGTGTCGAGCAGTTGCTCTTGCTAAGGAGTTGATGCCGATCTGTGAAGAGTTTTTATTTTATTGATTGAATTCGATTCCTAATATTACATTTTAAAAAATCTCAAATTATTTATCTCAAGTGAAAAACAAATACAATTACAGAACATCGTAACGTAGTATTTTATGATAAATTTATTCCCAGAATTATAAGATATTTTCTTTACTGCAGAAATTCTTTTCCAGAGGGCTTAGTCTCGAGATGTTTGAGTAGAAACACTAAAGTTTAGTGAAATTATTTACTGAATCAGCTCATACCAAAGAGACATCCTCAACACATCTCTAAGGATCTCATTGGTCTGTACGGAGTGTGCAGCCTTTCCGGCTATGATACTCCGAAAGAGCGATGGCGTTAGCATCCTATAATCCGACCGAAAAATTTTAACTGCTTGGCTTTACGCAAGAGCGGGGAATAATGTCTTCGGGGGGTCTTTTAAGGGTAACTGGCCCCTATTCAGGCGTTACAGACGTGGAGAAAACCCGGAAAACCCCACCTGGCAGTCCATTCTGGCGAGGCGCGAACCCACAACCGAACTCCTAGTGTTCAGGGAACGGAACCGCTTGACCACTAGTTGAACAATCAACACATCTACTGTACACTGTTACTCAAATAATGCAAAACTAACAAGGATCATCTTAAATGAAAGGAAACATGATGAAATAATTTAGTATTGAATTATCTAATTTCTAAGTAATATTTTTTATTTAATTAGATATGCCAAAGTATTTATCATTAACTGGAATATGATAAAATTTGATTCAAATATTTACTTCTTGTTAAAGTGTTCAACGTCACTATTTAACGGAAATGTTGTCAGAATTATCATTTTTTTTTATCAGCAAGATGTTTGTTTCAAATTCTTCAGATATAAGCCGCCTTATATATACACTTCTGTAGAAATAAAAGTCAGTCCCACAACTGAGATAAGAAGTAACCCTTGCTTGATAATTATGAAGTTTTCAAGCATTATTTCGTTTATTTTATCGATAAGTTGCTGTGTGGCTACTTTTACCAAATTCTACTTCCCACCATCAAGTGAAAACAAGTTTCCTCGTCTTCGCTTGACCAACACTCTACCAACTTTACAAGAGTTTTCATTCTGTTCTCGAGTCAGACCTCTCTCGCTAAAAAATGATTTAGCCACTATTATATCCTACGCTTCATCAAGATCAGACAATGAGCTAATAATTGGGATTTCTAATAACAGTGGTAAATTCGGTTTACGTGTTTATTTGGGAGCTTTTAGTAAAACCTTTAGCTTCCTCGTCAATAAGCTTGGCAAATGGAATTATATTTGTGTATCTTGGTTTGGAATCGATGGAACAATACAGGTGTTTACGAATGGAGCTGTTCAAGAAAGTTCTATTGCTGCTGGTAGTCACATTAAAGGAGGTGGCAATTTCATCGTTGGACAGGAGCAGGATGCCATAGATTTAAAGTTTGATTATAATCAATCATGGATAGGCGATGTCGCCGATCTTCACCTATGGAACGAAGCATTCGATTTAGGCCAAGTTAAAACAGATGATAAGTGTGGCGGATTAAAACAAGTAGGAAACGTAATTTCATTGGAAGATGCATCGTTTAGTGCCTTTGATGGTGTCACACTTCATAAAAGTAATTCTTGTAAATTTTAAAATCTACATCGTATGTGTAACTTTAAATAAAACTAAAAATTATAAATAATTTTGTCAAATTTAAGGATTTTTATAATATATTACTACTTTAATATTTGTAGATCAATAGAAAACATTAAAATTAATTTATCATTGTTGCTGTGTTTGAATAAATGTTATTAAATAGGATTTATACTTTTATATAAAATAATATTTTAAATGTGCACGGAAAAGCAATTATTTATTTATGTTCACAGTGATTAGTCATGGATCTCGGAAACCATAGTCGTATTAAACTTCGAGGTTCTCGAATACAAGTTTGGGACTGAATATGTTATAATTTTAAAAAACAGACACGCAGATGTATTGAAGAGATACAAAATATCTATTGATAATAAACCTATAACTGATTATGTATAATGCTGCGTTTCGACTATGTCGTGTTAACCTTGACACAAGGACTAATAAGGAGTGCTATCCTATACTATCTATTGTAGGGATACTAACAGCGAGTAATCAACTGAAATTATTAATCATTAAACAGTAATCATTTGAAAGTTCCTTAGAATGTATTTTTTTTGTATTCGAAGTAAACAAATATTTTTATTAATGGGAATTCATAGTAAGGTTTCAATTTTCAACCTGTTGGTTTTGTTTTATTTGTATACGGCAACATAACACATGGGCGATGCCTCCCGGTAGGACTTTCTATGGGAAACTGGCCCCTATTTAGGTGTTACTACAGTGGCTAGAAACTGTAGGTGTTACTAACGTGCAAAATGTCACGTGGCCAGCCCGTTGGCGAGGAGCGAACCCAAGACTAACTATCAGTGTTCGATAGTTTTATCCATGCGGCCACTGGTGGGCACTTTCGAATTAGTAAATTATTATTTATGGAATGTTATCAATATTCTATTTAAAATTTATCTGCTTGTCTAATCTTTGCAGATTTATAATTAGTTAATTATTATTCAATTTACTACACATGCTTTTAAATATTTTTATTTCTACACAGCATAATAATTTATCTATACAGTATTTATTCCAGTATATTAAAATATAGTACTGTATTATTTGATCTCTTGACGTTTGGAATATGCAATTGGCAATATCGTAAATAATACGATAAAAAGTTAAATAATCAAAATTTAATAATAATAAAGTTTAAATATTAAATTATTTAATAAGATTATAATTCAAAATTTCTATTTAAATATAAACAGAAATACCAAATTTAAGTCAATACTATATAAAGTAATGATTTTTATAAAACTCTTTCTTTCATTAACATTTCCTATCAGGAAATATAAGTATCGTAATTTTCCTTTTAATTTGCGTAGGCTATATCCTGTTGGTGTCATCCTCATATCCCGTTTCAAGTATATATAAATCGAAACTGTTTTCATTATATTTAATTCTTTTGCATTTTTTATAGTATAGATTATTGTTAACCGGATATCTGAATTACTAATTTCGATGCTAGTCTTGAATTTTATCATTCTCTTCACATTCTTTGCTGCTATAGAAGGATGTTTAATTCAAGCTACGTTACCTCCTCCTTCAAATAATCAATTTCCCCGAATTCGTCTGCGGAATTCTCTTCCAACTTTAAGAGAATTTACCTTTTGCTCGTGGATCAGACCTCACACCTTACAAAAATCATGCTACACTGTGGCATCCTACGCCACTTCAAGCTCTGATAATACCATAACTTCCATCATAACTTATAGAAGAAATGTCATGAAGGTTCATCTCTACATTAAATCTGTTCGGAAAGTGTTTAGGTGTCCTGACATAAAGTGGAAAATCAACGAATGGTACCACATGTGCTCCAGTTGGACAGGCTCTAACGGAACTGCTGAAGTTTTAATGAATGGAGTGCCGTGTAGTTCAAACGGAAAAACTCGAGTTAACATTTCGAAACCTGGAACCGTACAGGGAGGTGGAGTGTTCATTATAGGTCAGGAGCAAGATATGTTGGATGCAAAATTTAGCAGTAGTCAATCCTGGATTGGAGATATTGCTGGTGTTCATCTTTGGGATAAAGCTTTGAGTCGTAACGAAGTGGTTGAAGCTGGAAATATCGATAATTACCCGAATCCCGGTAATGTCATTTCTTGGATGAAAACTCCTACTCTAGATTTGGACGGAGTAAAGTATTCGAAAAGTGATTTGTGCCCCGTTTTAGGCTTTACTCCAATTATAGTGTAATATGTTAAAAGATATGTAGAAAATACTTTAATAAAATTGATTAATGTATAATTATTTGATTTTATAAAAGAATTTATTTCATTATTATTATTAGGGTGTACAAGGGGTCTTCTAAACCAGTGGTGTGCCGAGAATGGACTGAGGGGTCTAGGCTAGTCCCCAAAATTTCTTGAGATACCGTCTAAATATTACTTTTAATGCATTTGTATTTCAAACCTTTCACTTGAAAAATATGTAGTTTCGTGAATTTCCTCTTTTACGCCGAGTTCAACTCTTCCACGAGCCAACCTGAACACCCCTCAGGATTCTTTAGTTGACTCGTCGACAGGACTAGCTTGCAGACACGTGTTCCGGACTCGTATCACAGTACGAGTGTTTCCACTCATACTGTGATACGAGATTTTTAAGCTTTCTGTGCTTATTGAAAACAACACTGCATTAGTGATTTTTGTATTTTTATAATTATAAAACACTTAAAAGTTTTTATCTAAAGTGTGAATTAGTTAAAAAGACGGAATGTGTGAGCTTTTAATTTATGAAAGCTTTTAATTCAACATGGAAAGAGGTTCGTTAAAATAAGCAGGTGACATAACGCTGTTTCAATGTTTGAATGATGCAGCTGATCTAAGTGAATCGTCGCATCAGTAAAGACAGTCAACGATGTTCGTGCTGTTTTCTGGATTGCCTGATTGAAATGTTATTTGAAGCCTTAAATATTTTTTTTTATAAAACCCATCCTTCTTAAATGCTAATAACCTGTAAAATCATCATTACGTTCGACCTACTCGAGATGTGACAAACGACTTTCCTCTATCTTCCCACCACGACCTTTAATCACCAAAATTTAACTTTATCAATCTCCCTAATACACAAAGCTTCCTGCAAAATTTCAGAAATTTTCGATAAAAAACACAGGAATTAAGCTTCAAAGGGGGTAAACAAAATTGTGCCCTTCCCACATTAATATCCATACATACAGAAATTACTCCCAAACTTTTTTGCATTTCTCGACGTTTCAAGGTGTCCTGCCTGAATCCAAAAATGTAAAAAACTTGGGGAGGGGTAATTTCTTAATCAATAGCCGTACTTTCCTCTGTTATATAGGTCTATAACAGAGCCCAAAAAGTAAAATAAATGTGCCAATAATGTGTGGATAAAAATAGTTTTCCGGGTGATTAAATAATCATAAAAATTTTCAATATACAATATCCGCTTTTCACTTAAGCATAAGCTGCAAGTGCTAATAATAAAATGTTTTAATATTCGCCAACATCGGCATAATCATCAAAAGAGATAAATGAAAAAGTTGCTGTCACTGCATAAAGCATAAAGAAACTACCGATGTTGGTGATGGCATCTTGGCAAATATGTCATTTATGTCAACTGAATATTTCTTTTATTAATATATAAATTCATATGCAAGATTTTTCCTTGAGAAGTATATAACAAGTTCGTCATAAAATGAAGACTAGGCAATACTTTTGTAATGGCATTTTGCAGATCACTTCTCCTCTAGAAAACTTATTAAGTACCGTCCTTCTACGGTTAATTAGCGCGTAAAATATCAAATTGTAGGATGATACCCGGACTCCCGTGCATCCCAGAGCTGATAAATTTTACTTCATCATCCTCTCTCTCCTCTGCATCGCCACCAGTGGGCACATTTCCAATAAAGGATGCATCTGATAGTGGAAACAAGATACATTTGTTTAATGATAGACTAACAACAGACATATTTCTTAGACAGCCGGTTGGCCCAGCGTCTCTGATGGCAATCTGAAGAATCCGGGAAAGAATCCGAACGGGTCGAAAAGCGGCACCATTCCTCTTCCACCCAGTCGCATTATTATGGTCTAACCGAACTCATAATAAACTCGATAAAAAGGACTGTTAACCCTAGAGTAATAATCATGAGTAAAATTTACTCACCTCGTTTCAGTTCTCTTTGGCACTTTCAAACCGCACTTTCCAGAAAACCCTTGTGCTGGCAGCGTGACCTATACACAGTCTGTACTATGCTTTTGTCAAAAACACGTCTGTCAGCAATTCTCTGCGTTTTAGTGGCAACCTGATGTGAGCTAGTGAGTATATTTTACTCATGCTTAGTGTTTGTAGTTGTTTGACCTTCATTTTCAGCTAGTTATATATAATAATTCCTACATTTACAAGAAAGATTTGATAATCAATGTATTCTGCAATGGCTTCGTGTAGCAGACTATAATGAAGATAATAATGTTACTGAGAGATTTTCTGGAGATTCGGATAATAGTGATTTATATCATGATCATTGCATAAGTGGTGAATTATCTTGACGAGATAAACACCACGAAATTTCAATTGTCTGCTGATGAAACTGTCCTCATATGGAGCGGCTCCCCGAATTATATATTTCTTCAGTTATAAATCCCTAAACCAGGGCTGTCCAACTGGCGGCCCGCGGGCCGTATACGGCCCGCCAAATAATTTTTACGGCCCGCGAGTACATTTTACTATGAATAAATTTATGTTACTAAATTATTATTATTAATATTAAAATTATTTTACTACCGTGTTTCCCCGAAAATAAGACAGTGTCTTATATTAATTTTTGCTCTGAAAAATGCGCTAGGTCTTATTTTCAAGGAATGTGTTCTTTTTTCCAGGAAGAAGAATTCACATTTATTATTGAACAAAAAAATTCCCAAGTCGAACTTAGACGAGAGTGACGTATATCCGGTGTGTCGAACTGTCGCCTTTTTATAGCGTCAACATCGGACTCGCTGACCAATTAGTGCTTACTGAACCGTAGCACTATGCAAATGTC